TAGCAGGGCTCCTTTAAGGGCTCCTTTATGGGCATCAGCACCGCTAATGTAGGGGCCTTAATCATTAGGATAGGGCTTTAGGGTCCATTATACAAAAATTATCATAGGGAAACCCCCATAATGACATTGGTAATTATTGAGGCCCCCGTATTGGAGAGGCCGTCCTTGCAATCATCACTGGCACTTGGAGGATCAGGGGACTTAGCAAGTAAGGCTATAAGTACCGCAATTGGGGTCAGAAGGAATTGTTAGGTGTAATTCCCTTTATATAACCCTAGTTACTAAGTCCCAAGATCCTTGAAGCAAACGTTGTTATAGGTCCCGTATAGGAACCCTCATAGGAACCCTTGAAAATTACGGAATCAACCCTAAACCCTAAACCCTAAACCCTAAACCCTAAACCCTAAACCCTTTAAGGAAGCCTTTAGTTACCAAGTCCCAGGATCCTTTAAGTCCCCTAAACCAAAGACCCTATACTAAGCCCTACATTCTGGACCCGAAACCCTACACCCTAAAACCCCTAAACCCCTAAAGCCCTAAAACCCTAAAACCCCTAAACCCCTAAAACCCTAAAAAACCACTAAAACCCCTAAAACACCTAAAAAGAAAAAACCCTAAACCCCTAAAAAACAAAAAAAAACTGAAACCCCTGAAAAAAAAAAACCCTAAAACCCCCTAAAACCCCAGAAGTTGAAAGGGCCAAGCAGCTTGTGATTCGGCAGCCCCTCATGCCGAGGGCCTCAGGGTTTATGGGCCCTCAAAGAGGGTTAAGGGTTTAGGGTATAGGGTTTAGGGTATAGGGTTTGGGGTTTAGGGCTGATGCTACAAAGGGGTTTAGGGGTTTAGGGGTTTTAGAGTTTTCGGGTTTTTAGGGTTTTTAGGATCTTTTGGGGTTGTAGGAGTTTAGGGTTCAGGGTGTAGGGGTTTGGAGTTTTAGGGGTTTGGGGTTCAGGGGTTTAGGGTTCAGGGTGTCGGGGTTTGGGGTTGAGAGGTTTTAGGGGTTTTAGGGTTTA